CTTGAAGATTTAAATATTTTAGTTTTCATTTATACATTTTGTAATCGGCCTGCTATTGTAGTAATTTAATAAATTGGAGTAGAATTTAAGCACTAGTTTATGATACGTCGAAAAAGCATATGCCTACAGTAGGCTCTGTACGGCACCAACGAGATGATATCGGGTAGTGTTAGAAACAGAAGCAGAAACTTTTTCATTCAATATAGATGATACTTATTGAAAGTCACTCATTTATTTAATTACTACTAGTTCGAAAAAACCTCTGTCCTGGGAAGAACCAAAAAGAAACCCAGCGGGACTTTTTTTTAAAATAACAGCTTACAATCATGTATGTTACACAATTAACCACATAGAACAAATATGAAATAGCTTGGTAGCGATCACCTCATTCCCAGGGGTAATTACCATCCATACATTCCTTAATATTATAATAACCCTTTTTTATACAAACTTTGTTTAATAAAGGTTTTGAGCTTTCAGCAGGTCAAATCTTGTATGTTTTCTGGGATTTTGTTGTAAAAGCGTATACATCGCCACAAGAAAGAAATATTGATTCAGTGGAGTCGAATAACTGTACTATTAGCTTGTATCTATATCACTTAGTTTTGTACAACTACTTTTATTTTTGTGTACGTACATTAGATTTTCATAAATGTATTGAGAGGCCAAAGTTAATATTTTAAATACCTTTAAATTTTGTCGCAGCGATTTTTTAGGCTTTAAATTATACATTGCACTTATGGCCCTTTGCTGCCAAACAAATATAATATCAGTGTCAGCTGCGTGTCCCCACATCAAAATACCATACGATATTATTGTATGGAAATAGCTAAATTAAACTAGTCTAGCTGTTTCAACACTGGTAAGATGTCTAATTTTTTTTACATCACATGCTGCAGAACTAAGTCTACTTGCTGATTTTGATATATGAGGGCTCCATTGAAAATTCGCGTCAAGTGTAATTCCAAGAAAAATGGTGGTATCAACAAGACTCAGTTCCTCCCCATTTAAATTTACATTAGTATTTAACTGTTTGACATTTGGAGTCACGAATTTCATAAATTTCGTTTTATTGCCATTTAAATGCAAATTTTGAAAATTGAACGAATTTACTTATTTAGATATAGCATTATATATATCGTCTAACTTGAAAAGTAATGAAGTGTCATCAGCAAATAATACTGGTTATCTAATAATGTATGTATTTATATATATATATATATATAATGGTTATCCTCTACTATGTAAGGTAAATCATTAATGTATACAAGAAACAAAAAGGGGCCAAGAATTGAGCCTTGTGGCACGCCCATTTGTACCATCAAACCGGAAGAGCTCATACTGTTAATGACAACTTTTTGCGTTCTATTACCTAAATATGAAATAATTAATTTAAGAGAATTACTTCTTACACCGTATTGTTGTATTTTCCTGACTAATGTTTCATGGCGAACACAATGGAATGCTTTGGATAGGTCACAGAATATACCCAAAGCATCCTGTGAATTTTCCCATATGTGGCCAGCATCTGTCTTTCCATCCGATTACAGTATGGGTATCTTCAAGGCAAGAGTGAATAGGCTTTTGTTAAGTCAGTGCGCTTCGTTATCTTAGGGTACATCACCACTTACCATCAAGTGGGATCGTAGATAAGCGCTGGCTTAGTTGAATATAAAAGAAATTAAGATATGTTTAATTAGCTCAACACCAGCATCAGTTGTCGGGCGACCCCTTATGAAAACGAATTTATTTTTATTCACTATACTAAATAACATAAATACTAAATATTTTCATTTAATGCGTGCGGGACGTGAGGCCATACAATAATGCAATAAAGTAAATGCCGATTTATAAAAAGAACAAAAAAAACAAAAGTAATTTCCACTTAATACCTTCTAAAGTCGGGGCTTTGACTATATACTATATCCTAGAACTACTTCAGAAGCTATTGTTTGCAAACTATTTTATTGCTTTTAGTTCTTTGAAGTAGATTTTTATTTTTTAATGAAAAGTTTAATTTTCGACGCTGAAACACAATGTTTTTGTGTCTCCTGTTTTCTTTATATGTTTTATTTCTTATTTGTAGTGCCCATTGTGTCATAGCCACGTATAAATAATTTCTTTAATTGAATCTTTTATAATAGTAAACCAAGATATAACAACAGAATAATAATTTTGCATTAGATTAGCCTAGTATTTATTAAGATTTTGTTACTGCGTTACAGTTCCTGAATTTAAATTCCAATTGGAGATATTAGTTTATGGAATTCATTAGTGCAAAATAACATATCTTTTGTTTTTTGGGATTTCAATGTGCTGTTATTATCATATGTCTGTCAATCCGATTTCAATATACCTCTTATTCTTTTTTATACAAGTAATACTGACAAAATGAGTATCCAGTTTTTAAACAAGTGCTGCTTGTTATTAAGTAGCTTTAATTTTGCATATTTTTATTGTAGTGTAATTTTTTTATTGATGTCTTTAAGAAATAATAAAAATCATTACACCTATGCAGTTACTTTGGCGTTTTCAACAAAATAACCTCATTTAGAAACGGTAGCAGATTAAAACATATTGACATTATAAAACGAAATTTTAATTTTGTAAAAAGTTTTCATTTCATTGCACAGTCACATACACACCTTGCTCTTTTATATTGTTGTTATTAATGCAAATATCGAGCCAGTGAATTCGTGACGCAGCCTCCCTCTTATCTGTTGTGTGTCGTAGTTACCAATGTTGGCAGGCAGGTTGGCAACCGCATTTTTATTACTATAATTGAGTTGATATCAAGAAGATGCTGTTGCCTTTCTCCTGGTGCGGTTTCTCTCTATCGTGTCAACACCTACGTGGTATGGTACGTGGTATTAGATTTTCTTATACGTTACCGTGGTAATGTCTAGGAAAATCATCACATTTCTGGACAAATTAATTAATTTCAAATCTGAATCAAAACGGGATAGAGTTGTGAAAAAAGAAAAATACAGAACTGACATCCAGGTGTTTTATTTTTAATTTAAAGTACATTAATCACATCCATTGTCTTAAAATATCTGAAATTAGAAATAAATATATTCGTATTTTAAGATAGAAAAGCTTATAATTTCTTACAGTATGTACCTTAATTTCAGTGATTATTATTATATACATCATTTTGAAACTACTATTTACAATCGCTTTTTTCATTTAATAAATTATATAGGAATTTAAATACATCAATTATTATCTACAGTGTTAAAATATTCAAGTAAACACCACATATTATTATATTATTTATAAAAAAAACATGGCTTTCTAACAGTACTTAACCCCGTTGGGATATGTTGTGCATCTTTTGACAAGGAGTCATTTCTAATTTTCACGTAACCTTATAGTTGCAGATTTTTAGCGTAACTACATACCATACATTTACGTTTTTATTAAGTTTCATTTTATTTTACTTTTGAAAATATTTATGGCGGGACATGTAAATATAATAAACATGTAAATAATTCTATTTATATATATAATTTAGTTTTATATATACCTACTACTATAATTCTTAAATTTAAAGTTAAATTAATTTACGAATAATAATATACTTTTATCGATATAACAGTTTTTTTTAATAAAATTTTAAGCCCACTGTAACGTTTTGCACTGTAGAAGTCACACAAGAGTTGGTAGGGTTGTCTCTTAGAGTAATTACGTACATAGCTAGTAATTACTCTGAGGGTTGTCTAATTATCATATTCATCTCCAAGATTGGTCCGTTCCATTTTCAAATACAGGTTGAAATAGAAAAGTATTAGTAGTATCAGCTCATTATTCCGTAGCTAAGATTGTTTAAAGTAAATTATAATCTAACATTGTTTATAATTAATGGCCTGACACAAACTAGATGTAAATAAAAACTTGTTAATATTCATACTGATTTAAACTCAGATAAAAAAGGAAAGATAAACGGAAGACTGGGTACATTTCAAGTGACGCTCAACCCAAGCTTAAACTTTATTTTAAGAACTCACGCACACATATGCATCTAAAATAATTTGCAACCAACAACATAGTTTCAGTTGTTATGTGCATACAGGAGTGAACTTTACCGGGCTGTTAAAGAAAGAAAGAAAAAAGATGTGTTCGTAAGTACGTGTCATAAGTAACTGGTTTTGGCATCACGTTTAAATGTAGCGAAAGCGTTCCGTCTATCTTACTTTCTTGGTCTGCGTGTTAAAAATGAAATTTTACCTCTTCTTGCATGTATTTCATTGTCAAATGCCAGAAGTAAGTAATCGACCTATTAAAAAATTCTTACTTTAATATTTATTTATTTAATTAACAAAAATTAATATATAAAATAAACATGCGAAACCATTAAATCTTAATTATAATATTTGGATTACTACTGGATTCGAGGCATTCCATCTTAGTCCTAGGTGGTGATAACGCATCCGTATTTTTTTTTCTTGAAATAGGCTACAGGATGTCCACAGACTATAATAACCACTTTCCATCAGGTTTGACTATAAGTTCGTTTGTCACTAGAGTTTGAAAAAAGAATATAATTTTAACATTGAACTATATAACCTTTTTTGTAGCAGTAAATAGACTTTCAAATGGTGTAAATATGGGTTATATTACTATTAGGAAATCACCTTCTAGTACATGTTATATATTTTTTCGTATCAGGCCACATAGTATACAGTTTGAATTTTTTGAATATCTTTATAAGTTACGGAATAATCAGCTAGTGGCCCTTATCTATTCCACTAATATAAATATACATTTAACATTAATTTCAATTTACAGAATTAAATGTTATATAATATCATTTCGTATAGTTAGGTTAATCATATTTTTAAACAGGCCTTGAGGCCAAATTAGCCGTATAGATCTTGGGGAGTTGGAGTGGTGCGCGGAGCGCGAGCCTCCCGTCAAATCCACGTTCGCTCTACGTTGGGATTAAATGCGTCATTCCTACTGCAGTCGGCGTGTGGATCAAACGCCCCTCTCCGATGTCAGGTGCTACCGAGCAACGTATTGTTGTACGTGCTATGCATCGAGATCCGAATCGTACCTAAGTAAACAAAAAAATATAAAATAGTCGTCCAAAAGCCTAATAACATTAAATTGAAAATGGTAATTATTTTGGGTATATTTTAATGTAAAAATATCAAAGCTAGTACGGCAAAAATCAACGAGAATATCTGGTTTTGCTTCAATGAAAACACTTAAATGAAGAAATTACCAACTATAAGGTTGGCCTCCGGAAATCTCCTACTTGTGAATTTTATTTGCATGCAGCAAATGGGGAGTGCCTGGCGAATTTTTCATGAATTTTGTTGTTTTGCTCGAGGCCTTGTATAAACCTACGGAGAAGAATATTCTCGTCTATGATATAGCAAAAAATGCACATGTTAAGTAAACCAACGACTTAAAAACTGACCCTAAGAGTGTTGTTCGTTTAAATATAATAGACCTAAAGTCATACGTATTAAGTCATACGTAGAGAATATACAATGATAATAATGACAGAGGGTCTAAAGTTTCAACATAATTGTAGAGTAAAAAATAAAATCTTACAGATTTTATTAAACTTAACGATAATTGTGTCTATTTAAATTACTTTAATATACAAATATTATATTAATTTTGATAAATATTTAATATTAACATACTTGTTCCATTCTTTCGACTTGGTGAAAGTGAGCGAAGTGATCTGTCCAATTGTTCAGTTCCAAAACCTCGGTGTCTACTTAATCCATCGTTGCCTAACGCACCACAACACCAGAAGAATTGTTTAAATCCTCGTCTGAACCTAATTAACATCAAATAATATAAGAGTTATCCAATGTGAAAATACTTGTATGTTTTTTTACTCTTGGTAAAAAGTTGGGTGAGTAAGGGTGTGAGTTTTCTGTGAGTGGGCGGTTCTCAAGTCCAACCATTTGTACTGCAGCTATAATACTGTTGTAATGTGGTTCTACCTTAGAAGTATATATCGGCTCTGTTTCACTTACGCGCCCGCCAATATAATGAGAAAATTATAAATACCAATGTCTAGCAGAGAACTGATAAAGGCTTTGAGACATTTTGAGTTGAGGTATCATGTGAGGATACATTAAGAAATTTATTCTTCAACACAAATATTGATATTCATACATATATACGTTCTTATTCTGTCTTCATATACCATTTATTTCTTCCTCATTGATCAACACGATCAAAAGGCATATAAAACGAATCAATTGCTGGACCTGAACATCATGGTGTTATTAGCTCTGAGCTATCTGATTATATTACCACTTCAGCACTATTACATATTCTTTAACCCTCAAACTTAATATTTATTAATCTATTTTAGCTATCCAAGATTAATAGTTCAATCCTTTTTATGGTTAGCCAGTGCCAGTAAGTTTATTGCTTCTGCTGAAAAACGGTTATACCTGCAAAAAAATAACCACTTTTCCTATCTTCATTGATACTTACTTTGAATTCATCCAGCAATATATGATCGGATTATACATTGAGTTACTCATAGCCAGCCAATAAATGCCAAGATAAATCTCCTGTATGTGAGGGTAGTTCACGACGTCTGGGTAGTATGACGTCACAACGAAGTAAACATGAAACGGCAGCCAACACACCGCGAATATTACGACGACTACAATCATCATTTTTACGACCTAAAAATAAAGAATATAATGGGAAAAAATCATTAAACATACCACACAATGCAGCAGAGGATTTCCTCTATTAAGCCAATATCTTTTTACATTATAGTGAAGAAAGGCTTTTTGTAGATAAGTAAAGGACCATTACTTAGATATTTTATAACTATTACCCTTCTCTTGCTTTTAATATTATCCAATTGTCGTTGAGTACATTCTCCGATAGATTGAGATCCCCATAGCTCCACTCCAACTCTCGCGTAGGTGTATGTCATCGAAATAATTGGAAGGAAGTAGGTCAATACCATAAATGCTACATTATACCTGTAAACGTTAAAAATGTTACAAATACAAGTAACATATTAAACTCATCAACTCATTCGAATAATAAATTAAAGTCGCGTTACTAACAGATATTCGAGACGAGATCTTGTAGTAATTCCATCAGGCCACTCAGGAAAGCACACTCGCCTATAAAGTGGAAAAAAATGAAATGGTTAGAAAAATTAAATGTTTACCAAATTTTGCATGTTTAAATCCATCCGTTTTTGTAAGACAAACCATGTGGTTGTCCAATTCGAACGAATTGTACTCAAGGGACAGTCTAATTAATAAATATTTAAGAAATAGGTAGTACTCGTTCTTTTTATGAAATTGGTTTAATATGATTTAATACTGTTATGAGAATGTTTTAAGTAAAATATCTATATATAATAGATTTAAATTACTAAATTTTACCTTGTGGTTCCATCAGGTAATATATCTACTTCCGTTGTAAAGTATGCAATATTTGGACTGCTGAGAATGGAACTTCCTGCCCAAATCGCTGCTGCAATACCAAGAGTTGCACGTTTTCCAAGTCGGGGTCGTAAAGGACTTATGATAGCCACATATCTAAAATAAAAACATATTCGTTCGTTTTATATGCCATATAAATAAAGATGAGAAAAGTAATACATGTAATTTGTTTCAAATAAATGAGATGTCTAAAATAAATTTCGAAGATTTTGCTTTGAAATGACGATTAAAGAAAAATTTAGTGAAAGGGAATTTATTTTCAGACACAGTCTTGAGTCTAATTTATCAAAATTATTTTCTTTAGAAAGTAAATCACTTTAGTATAGTTTATGAAAGCATCGGAACTAATTTCAAACAGTCCAGTCAAACAATTATAACAGTAATTTTAAGTGATTTTTTTTCAACATTGGTCGGGGTGATTTTTAATAAATGTTTTGGTTGCCACGAAAACAAAAGCTTAACCTGACTTTACATGAAATATATGAAGAAATAGAGAATTTGCCTGTAATAACAAAATATTTCTTACTTAAAGTAATTTTAACTTACCGATCTATACTTATTGCCATTAACGTAAATACAGACGCGGATATGCTCACTACAGCAATGAATTGATTAAACTTGCAATAGAAATGACCAAATGGCCAATCTGAATACAACATGTAGGTGAAGTTAAAGGTGACATTTAAAGTTGATACCATAGCATCGGCGACTGACAAGTTTACTGAAAAACAAGGTATGTTATTAGTTTCAACTGAAGATTTTTTTTAGTTATTTGTTTTTTCAAGGTTGTTACCTAAAAAGTAATTAGTGACGCTCCTCATTCGCTTATTTGCAAGAACTATCCAAATTACCACAAGGTTCCCGACGGTAGCCACTATCACCATACAACCGAACAACACCGTCCACAGTACTTGGCGCCACCATGGTAAAATAAAGGATTGATACACCTGAAAAATATAACCTAGAATTAGGAATAAATTTAATGAAATCGTTGGTTTTTTTAACGGCCCGATTAAAAGATTAAGTAGTTGATTCGGAAAACTTATCTAGAAACTGGATTAATAACATATGCTTGCATTAGTTGGTCAAGACTCTGACAAGTACGAACTTGTGTAGTTATCTTTCTGTCAGTCAATCAATAATCAGAATAAATTGCTGCGCCGAGGATTCTCTATTAGAATCTTCACCGGACCTAACATTTCTATAAAAATACACTGCACCCAGTCCATTTCCTGAACCAACTGTTTAACGCATAGGCTATATAAGAAATATCAATAATTTAGGATGAGCGAGTCCAAGTCTGTCAGCGCGTTCATCTGTTGTCGCAGAAGTCTAAATATTTGCGTACTAGATTTACGTATTTGTAGTGCTATGGCTTGCGCAATTTATATATTCTGCAATTATTTCAAAAGATGTTGCTGTAGTCGACATTATCTAGTAAAACGGCACTACTATAATATTATTAAAATAAATAAGAAATGTTTACGCGAATTATAAAGTTATAACTACACATTAGAGATAATCATCAATGAAAGCAATAACAACTAAAGCTGTGTACAAAAACTAATATTTGTTAGTTACAATAACTATCATAACTATTTCCCATTTTAGACTTAACAATTATTGAAATTGTTTAAAGACAGTTGCGAACACTAAATTTACAAGGAAGTTAATTTTGACGAATATTCAACAAAAATTTGAAAGCAGAACAGCTAGAATTTCGATTGCTGGAGGACATGTTATAAATCTTACACAATTATACATTGTAAATTTATACATAACAATGTCTAGTGGCTAGTTTAAATAATTATTAGTGCGACGGAACAAATAAATATGATTAATTATAATGCAGGGATAGTTAATCTTTTATATACATGTGCAAATTTTATTTTAAGAAAATTAATGCGTTCAAGGAATTTTGGGGGAAAATACAAGTAGTAATATTTTACACACTAAAATATGTATATGAGTAATAACAAAAATAAAAATTCATTATTTTAATTTTTTATCTAATTTAAAGCCGGCTTATTATATAATGATATGACGTGATGTACCTGTTCTGCAATAAAGTTAGGATTGCCAACTTTTTACGTCAAATATAGTATTTTCGAGGCTATCTTTTAAAAAATAGTAAATTGTGAAAAAAAGGCGTATTTTACTAATACCACACTTTGAAAACTTTACCGTAAAGTACTCGAAACGTCGAGAATTAAAAACAAGTTAAAATTAAACGTATTATAATCTGTACAATTGGTATTATTTTAGGATTCTATATTATATGACAACCCTAAGGAAGTTTAATGAAAGTTGTGACATATTTAATGTCAAAAAGAAACTATACTTTGTGCTTGGTACACATCTGATAATCTTGAGTACTTTTTTTTAAATACTAGTAATCTTATTAAACATTACTAATACTCCCTTTAACCACTTCTGGTAAGCTTAAAATGCTTGTTAGAAGTGGTTCACGACAGTAGTCGAATGGCGGATTCGAACCCACGACCTTTCGAGTTCGCGGTCCGCGCCCTGCCATTAGGCTACTGACGATTTGACTTGTGTCCTAAGTATGGATGCCTATTTCAACAATATCCTATCACTAGCAGTATCGTGTCATAAAATGCCATATTTAACAATAGCGTTTCATGTCAGTGTCATGTCAAATTTTCCTCCAATCCTCGTATCTTTTCCAAGTCCAAAGTTTTCAAGACCCTAAAATGCGTATGAGGTATCATATTGCATCTTCGTATCGTAATAAAGTATCAAAATACGTCAACACTATCGATCACGATACGTGTTTCCGATGATACACGTTTGTGCAATGCGACTTGGGTAAGATACGCCAGGATGGTCAAATGTAAAAACGGCATTAGCAATTTATCTTACCTCAGTGGAATTGCCCGTGTCATTTAGATATTTGCCAGTGGGCACGTCGTAAAAAGTAACGTAGAAATTGTGAACATCATTGATATAGGGTGTGGATTCGTTAGAAACTAACGTGGGGCTTGGAGTGTCCAGCATTGTCATGAACCTGAAAAAAGTATTAATAATAGTTTTTCTTTAAATTTACAAATAATAGTATGATAGCACAGTAACTTTTTTAATTTTACAAACGATATTATAGTACTCGGTACTATATAACAATAGTATTGTAACACAGTAACAGTAGTTTAGTTTATGCCAGACGTAAAATACATAAACCGACGTTAGCATTTCGTAGATGTCGTAGAAGACAATAAAACAGGAGACGAGCAATATCGACTTCCCAATAACAATTCAAAATAAGCATTGCGGTGGCCAACGCGCCTCCTAAGTGTAGCAACTGTGGTAAATCTAAATCTAAATGATGACATAAGAGTCAATTAATCACTTCCAAACAATACTAGAGACTGTCTTTGGCAGTGGATTTGGGATAAGTTGCAATGATTGAAAAAATATCACTTATGATATAATACTCTCACCATACTAAAATAGCTTTTTAAAGTCCACTGTACATAAGCCTTACTAAGAATACGTCAACTGGCAAGCATTACGTCAATGAGTTGCCTACCCCCATGACGCTAAACAAGCGACGTGGCACAATGTCTGTACCATCACATTGGCAATATCATTGGTGAAATTGAGTTTAGTATAGAAAGGATTTTCTGGCATCCGTCGACCGGTTCGACCTGGTCCGTCATTCATCTCAATTCAGTGCCTCCGTTGTCTTACTAAACTCTACTACTCCTTATTTATAGAATGTTAATAATACTCGTACATCATATAAGTTACCCCAATATTTAATATATTAGTCGAACCATGTATTGATTTTCTTTTAAAAGCTTGTGGTAAAACATTTCAAATAAGGTATATTAAAAAGTCAATTCTAACTTAAGTTTGAGTAGATATTATAGCAAAACCTGTACACGTTAATACAAATAGCTAATAGAATTCCAATAATGAAATTGCCAGGCGTGTCGCTTTCATGTCACCTGTATGTATTTGCTCAGAGGTATTTAGGTTCGATCGATTCGTTAGTGGCTTCTCTGATGAAATGTTGCGTTTGAGCCTCGTAAATGTTAATTGAGTCCCACTATTGCAAGTCATGGCAAAGTTTGAGCCCACCCACGCGTATTAAAATGTTTGAGAAACATAAAGTAAAAACAGGAATAATTATTTTCTATAGCTTAATAACAATAGTACCAGGTGTAAGTGTATGTGTAGTTTATGTTTATAAAACGCCTCATTGTTAAAGGAGTAATATCTAGATAATTTTTTTGGATAGTACTAGTATACTTTTAATGTTTTATAAAGGTGTCTAATATGGCGTGGCCTAAATCAAATCTCCTGACTATGGTAAAGCCCATATGAAGCAGTTGACAGCATATGTGCTGCTCCAAATAAGGATCAAATATTAAGAAAAATAGGGAAATAAAAATTAAGTAAATAGGTTCGTTTATCTGGCAACTAAAAATAAGACAGTAATTTTAGTCACGTTGTTTAAAAGTCATACCAATTTTGGTATCTCGAAATAAGGTATACCATAAGTGGACTTATAATAACCTCACGAAACTTCTACTAAATAAATTTTTCGATAGCGGTTATCTTGTCATCAGTGTTGCGAACGGGGTTCGATATTCGGCACAGGCGTAACGATAATAATCCTCCAAAATTTTAAGTTAAAGTAAAGTAAAGTAACTTAGCTAAGCCATGACATATTTTTTATAGAATAAGGGTGACCTGACCTGACGGTATGTATATATTAATAGTTTTAGATGTCTATTGGCTATGGCCATCTAAAACTATTCTCGATAATGTATCGATTTGTTTTTTACGTGGTAGAGCCATACTGTAGCTATATTAGTAGTATAGTTGTAGCATGAATGGGTCGGCTCGACCGGGGAAGGACCACGCACTCACATAATACCATCGTAAAATGGTAGCTTGACACTACTGTGTTTCATATGGTGAGTGTAGAGAACCGGAGATCCATTTTACTGGACAAGAGGCATTCCATCTTATAGCTGACGACGCATCTGCATTTTGATCCTTTATTGAGGATAAATGTAAATGTCTATAGGTCACAGCAACCCCTTACCATCAGGTAGACTGTGTGATCGTTTGTCACCCTATCCTATGAAAAAAAAATCAAAATGCGAACTAAAACATTCGCACTACAAATAAAATATAGCTGCAGCATGACTCTGCCACGTATGTAGCATTTGGTTATTTGTCAGCCACGTTGCCTCAGTGCGTCTTGGCGAAGAAGACTCAGACATACAGGTTGACTCATGATGTTTTCCTTCACCACCGAGCAAGTGATAAATCAGCACTGAAATTGCAAATACTAATATCAGCTGCAGCATTGACGAGGATTAAGTGCAATTTACACGCTGCAGGTATATCATGGTTGCAGTACTAATGGATTGGCTCGACCGGAAAGGACCGCGGTCTTATAAAATACCGAGGTAAAATCTAAGATTAATACTGTTGTGTTTCGTATGTAAGTACATAATCGTAGACCCTTTTTATAGGAATCGAGGAATGTGATGTCTATGTATCACAGCATCCACTTAAAATCAGATGAACTGTGTGCTCGATGGTTATCCTTATTCTATAAATGTTGCAAAGTATAGGACCGTAAATATAAATTCGATAGAATCGAAAAAGTGGCTATTTATGTTGTATTTACTACAATCTTATTATTATTATTATTTACGTGGTAGAGCCATGCTGCAGCTATATTAGTAGTATAGTTGTAGCACGAATGGGTCAGTTTGACCGGGGAAGGACCACGCTCTCACAGAATACCAGCGTAAAATAGCAGCTTAACCCTGCTGTGTTTCATATGAGGAGTGTAGAGAACCGGCGACCCTTTTTACTGGAAATGAGGCATTCCATTTTAGTCCTCACGGGTGACAACGCATCTACATTTTGATTTGTAATAGAGGATAGATGTAGATGTCTATGGGCCGCAGCAACCACTTACCACCAGGTGGACTGTGTACTCATTTGTCACCCTTATCCTATAAAAAATCCCTTGCTTTCATCTCTGTTTGTCTCTTCAGTACAAATTTTGCAATAGATTTTTATTTGATTTCTCTAATGAGCATGACTTGAAACTTTAAATATACTTCAAAACTGGAAACGTGGTGTCAAAATAAAGTGTAATTGTGTATACACCATGTACGAAGTGAAACTTCTTTACGACATATTATTCTTATTTTAATTTACATTTTACGTAAGTAGGTTAAATAACAGTATACTCATGCATTCCCGGCGGTTAAACGTAACAAGTAAAAGTAACGTTTTTGTTTTTTTTTAATACCGTACTAAATTTCTCCAATACATCGATAAATAAGTTTCACTTCAAAAGAAATAGCGGATAGAAGAATATAATATATAAGAAGAAAAACACCGACTTCTGAATGTGAAATTATTTCATTCTTTGAAGTTGGCTTTAATTTTATTAAAGTCATTATTAACCACTTTGAGTGGATAAAGGAATATCACAGTCTCAATGTATTCTACACAGTTCCATTAAAGATTCATTCCGATATTTTGCCGTAGAAAGGGTGGAATTTTCCTACAAATTTATAGAATTCCACCACTCAAGTATAAAATATTAATTAACAATTGATGACGATATCACGTAATATTGTACAAAAAGCCCTTCCCTCGGCATGTGGGGCTCTGCCGGGGATGACCGAATATTTCCCTAGCTAATCGTGGGACCAAAATGGACGAAAGTCGACATTTCGAAAAACTAAATTCTCCTTAAATGGAACTGTCTGTAGCTTTGGAAGAGGCTCTTTTAGCCTCATAAACACCCACAAATTCTGATGAAAACTCTTCAAAAAAAAAATATTAAAAAGGAATCATCAAAATCAGTTAACAATTGATGAATATAACACGTAATTGTATACAAAAAAGAATCTGACTATAGGTTCTTATTTGTATACAAATTGTTAACCTCCTTCTTTTTTTAAGTAGCTCAAAATTCCGACTATATTGAATTATAAGCATTTAATTCAAAACCAATTTATGTATTGTAATAATATTGACTATGCATACGGGTGGAATTGATAATCTACAATCGAAATGAACAAGATTAATCAAATTATAAAGCTAATATTTGCGATTGCTTATTTTACAGCGAATCTTTATTTGTTAATTCGATCGATGAATTTAATTTCAATTTATATACAGGAGCCTATTGTTCGCATATCATAGTACGCGAGCAACCCGGGTTCAAACCTGCCGGCACCAATGAAATTGTTATTCATAATTTTATTTGCAAAAGTGCTGATTTACCACGTGCTTTACAGTGAAGGAATACATTGTGAGGAAATCTGCATGTCTAAGAAATAAAAAAAATCTAAGGCATGTAAAGTCACCAACACGGATACATGAGAGGAGGCCTGTGTCCAAGCCAGGCTAACTTTAACTTTTTTTAAACGCTTCATATTTTATTACTAATGCACAGTACTTTTCTTGTTTATTAACATCACCAACAAGAAGTATACTCTTATAAATATTTATAAATAGTTGAGGTACCATTTAAATGCCTTATCATTTGCAGGCGACCACGGCTTTAATTATAGCTTATAGCTAATTACTAAATAATTAGAAGACCTAAGTGGGTTGCAAAATAATAACGCGCGATAAAGCTGTCTATGTATAATCAATATGAAGAACATATACACGTTGTCCAAAAAAAAATGTATAAAATAAGTTGTAAGTATACCTCTTGTATACAACTTATTTTATAAATATTCTAAATATAAACAAAAATTGGAAGGTATATTTTTCAAAAAAAAAATATTTTGGGTTAGCGATTACGTGTCCAAATATCCACCTCTAGCAGCATGACAGATATAAGCTCTTTTCAATGCGTTTATCATCACATTTTCGCACATTTTCGGTGTTATCTCACTGCTGCATCTCGAATATTCTGTTTTGAGTATTGAAGATTCATCGGCTTGTTAGCATAGACACGTCCTTTTAGATAGACTGACAGAAAAAGTCAGGAGCTGTCAAAT